TCCGATGCTGTGAAAGCTTTCTAAAACAATAACAAAGAATAATACAATTTTGTAGCAATGTTTTGTGCTTGGTTTACTGTATTAGCAAATTTCCTTGTGTGCTTTTTAGACTTTCATTGTTCATTTAAAAACATCTTTGTCTAGATATAGTGAAATGCTTATGCTCGGATTATTATATTATTCAGGGATAGGATTATATTTCATTTTGTTCTGTAAATGCATACTCTAATAGACTTGCGGAATTCATCACACTTTTGCTTATAGCACTTTTGTATTATTACCGGTAATACCATGATGTCACCATTGTTTTTACTTAAAAACAGCCTAATAGCAATGCTTGCAGAGTTATATTAAATATATTGTAGGTAATATTCCTACATTTAAAGAATACTGCCTACAAGTTAAATACTAACCATATAATAATAATAATAATAAAAATAAATAATAATGATGATAATAAATTTATATGTGCCAATTCCAAGAATAATAATCAAAGGCACAGTGTTTAAGAAAGCAAGCTGTTAGAAAGATGAGTTTTAAATTCAGATTTGAATGTAATAATAGAGGTAGGATAGTATAATACATACTCAAAGTATCGAAATGCACGCCATCGTGTCGGGATTCAATATTTCGACATTAATTATGTCATCATCAGGAATTAATAGAGGTACCGTACCTGACCTAATGGAAGAAGGTATAGTATTTTTTTCCAAAGATACGAGGCAGCAAAATATATCTACAATGCTAAAGATTTGAAATAGAAACTTTGTTCACTAATGTAATATTCTTGGCAATATTCTTATCTTAAGAGCATGTCATGTAACATACAAAAGTGTATACAGTTCACTCTCCAAATCCAGACCACTTTGGGGACTGAAAATTTGGGGTAGGCTTGGGGTTCACTCTCTATTTAGAGAGTTAGCTTTGTGTTAAAAGATTGATGATGGTTATTTGGTTCTCTGAACAAGTGTTCTTGAAATAGAGGGGACTTGAATTGATGGATGAACTGTACATTGTTTGTAAATGTGTTAAATATTTTTTAGTTGATCTCAACTTCTTATATAGCTTCATTAAAATGAATCAAAAGTTCTGCTTTACATTACAACATTTACAAAGAATAAAATAACTCCCTTTATACCCAGTAGATTTAACCATTTCCTGCTAAAGACAGATATAATTCACTATTAACCCATCCAGACACTGTCTGCTAATTATGTGGCATGATTTTGATGGACATGTTCCATGAACCATTCGTCAATCATGAGTGAGATTTGTTAGGTATTCAGGTGGGACACTCAGGTAAACTGAGGACAGGTGAGGTAATGTTTCAGCAGGTGAAATCAAGACAAGAGTTCAGCGGAGGTCAGTCTTCATGTTGATGTCATTTGATCATCCTTCCCTCAACCGAGTAATGGTTCCGTGTATATTTAGTAACAAGGGGAAAATTGTTTTAGTGGAAAGTAATATGAATAGTAATAGTATACTAATAGTATTATTTATAACTTAGTATCCAATGGGTAAATAATTTATTTGAAGCATTAATTGTATTATATATTTATTTCCACAATATTTTGTGAGGGTGGACCATCTGGCCAGAACTGATCAAGTGGGACCCTCAGTACATACAATTAAAGACAAAAAAAATAAATAAAAAGATAAGAATTAAACAAGAATTAGTAGTTCAGAAAAAAAAAAATTTCTTCTTGTAAATAAGTAACTATGAAAATGTTAAGAAATATATAATAATACAAAATACAACAAAAAATAGGGATAATTTTTTTTTCTTAATGGCTAGTACAGTATCTAAAAATAATGTTATCTACTGTAAATCTTGGCGGAAAAGGTGGACAGTTGATTGTAATACTGTTTTTGTTAGTATTTTAAGTGCTATTAAAAGGTTGGATGGGTAGATCTGAACCCAGACAAAAGGTATTATATTTTGGACCGTGTGAACTGCTTTTACATAATGCTTTTGAACTAATTTTCCAGTTCACTCATTGTTGCCTTCTTATAGTTTTCAATCGTACTAAACTTCTGTTGAGCCATTTAAAATAAACCGAGACAAAACGTGAGCTTGGTGGGCTGTATACATTGTTAGAACAGCAAACCAACATAGCATACTCCACCAAAATAATTGTGTCTGTGCATTTTAAGTTTCACTAATATATGTCTGCACATGAATTTAACGTTTTCTATCCTGTACTTTGTATTGCTTTTTAAACAGCACGACTATTCTTCCAAATTGCAATCGTACTGTTATAATATGCTATTAATAGGCTGCCCCTGTTTTCTGATGTTTTAGTCATGCATATACTGTATATAATTATCAACGCTCCATAATGCACTGTCGCTTGTGAATGATTCCCTGGCGCAAGTATGTCGAGATGGCAAGTATGTCGAGATGGCAAGTATGTCGAGATGCATATGATGCATTTATACACACACGCAGCCAATCATAGGATGGTAGTTTAGGATGATTAATTTTAGCATGAATTCGAGCCTAAAATTAATAATGATGTCGGCTTATGAGAGTCGCTCTTAAGATTAATGTTTAACCATATCGATTCAAGTTTCTTATTTCATGCTGAAATTCTGACCATGTGTAATGTATCAAAAGCGATGTATTTAATTAAATTGAGTTAGGTCAACAAATATGCAACGGTTATCAAATTTGGTATTTGCCAGATAGTATTTGTTAACATTCGCATTCAAATGCCAACTGACAAAGTACTAAAAATAAATTGGAATTATTTTAAAAGGTTATAAGTGATTTCGGTATTCCACTCACTTAATTCTTGTTTCAACTGATAAATTCAAATTAAGAGAAAAACAACCTCGTTAAGAATGTTTATTGATCTGGATAATGCTTATTCATAAGCTAATAGCCATTTCATTATAAACCAGAAGTATTATTTAAATGTTAATGCTTGTATGTAATTGTTCATTTAGTGACATCTGCCAGTGTTTAATACAATGTGGATGATTATTGCTATTTTGTTATGAACTCAACCTCAAGTAATTTTTCACATGAACATTCAGTGTTCTGATGCTGGTTTTGCTATTAATTTTACAGGTAAACGTAAACAGCCGACCAGGAAAAACTTTGTCATAAAAGAAACACCAGTGATTATGCCTAGGTAGCATAGACTGGCCTCTCAATAAGTAATTGTTGAATATTTTTTGTTAAAGCAGAAGACTTACAGTATAATGTCATTTAGGTCACATTTTTGTAACACAAATACATAAAATTACAATGACGGGGCATCAACATATACATGAAGATGGTTCAATAACGTTCAATAAAAAACTAGTAGGCAATGATTCTCATTGTTGGTTCATCAGCTTTCCTGAAGATGACCTAATAATAGTTTATTTGGAGTTATGTGTCATACGTACAAAAAATAGAATAAATGAAATAGGCCTATATGAGGAAGATAATATCTAGTTCAAAACTGATCATGCTGCTCTCTAAGAAGTCAATGGAACTATTATACATGAAGGTCAATTAAAAGAATTTTATGTATATTTGCTTTCTGGTTTGCACATTTTTAATGTTGTTATAAAATGCACATTGTATGCATCGTTTGAGCATTACTGTTTTATTATGTATTGAAAGTGAAACCCCAATTAAAATAATACAAGTAGTGTTCATCATAATGTACTTTTAGATACTTAACCCTCTGGATACCGGATTATTTTGTAGTGCAAACCCTTGAATACCGGATTCTTTTGCGGTGTAACAAGGTTTTTGCATTTTTTGAGTATACGTCGTTCTAGTGGATTTTTGGGAACTTTCTATAAATTATACAGAAAAATGTTTCTAAAAACAAAGAAAGCTTATAGAATAAGCTTTCATTTAATGTATAATTTATATTTTTGGGAATTTTTTTTTTCATAAAATAATATAATATAATAAATATAATATAATAGAAATGACAGAAAAATGCTACATATAAATCGTCAGCAAAAACCGAAAAAAAAAATAAATTGTAGCCAAAAAAAAAAAAATAAAAACAAATATAAAACATTCCTATTTCACACAGTTATATAATTTATTTACCCAACCATCTATAACTATAAGCGCGATCTTTCCATTCAAAAGCGTCGACTACCCTCACATTTCTAGGCCTAGGCTCATCTTCATCAAGAACATCTCCGCCGTCAGAACTGCTTGAAGCCCCACCGTCATCATCGCTAACAGACACGTCTAAGTCTCGCACATCTAAAAATTCACCTTCATCGCTGTCTGAATTAAAAATCAGGTCAATCGCTTGCTCTGCTGTGTACACACTTGTGCGGCCATTTCGAAAAAATTTTGAAATTAATAACGATTTCAAATTGATATTTCTAAAAATATTTATATAAGCGGATGTGAGTTCTTCACAGATTTCGAAAGACAAAAGCTTCACGCATGCGTGTTTAAAATTTCTGACGTATTGGAGCTAAAATAAAAACAGAAGAGCGATTTGAAAACCACCTATTTTTTAGTCACGAAATTTCGATTGCAGTCGAAAATGGGAATTCTCGGTTTGAGGTCAATTTCGACTACAGTCGAAGACGGTATTTAGAGGGTTAAGTCATCAGGTCAATTCAGTGACCTGATGAATTTCTCAAAGAATATGAAAAAAAAACTAAACTGTTTTTATTATGCAGGTCCCATCATTCTTTCCAGATCCCAGATTTTTTCCCACTTTCTTCAACATATTTGAGGATGATATATCTAGTTAATTGTTTTAGACCCTCAATTTTCTACTATAGTATATACTGTATACCTGTTTCTTTTTTTTTAAGCTTAAGAGTGATGATGTTTTGGCTATGAAAAAAAATCTTTTTCAATGATTGAACTAATGACTTGAATGGGGAGGTGAGCACCTTCTGACCAAATACTTTTAATCCCAAAATAAATTCAGTTGCCAAAACCACAAACTTTTAGCATAATTTTACATATATCTTGCCAAAAAAAACTATAATTCGCATGTTTTTTTAAAAATATTTTTCAGGATAATCTAGAGCAGTTGGTAGTGATGGAGTTGCCAAGGATCTTCACCATTGCCAAGGATCCAGTCAGCGAAGAGGCCTTCGGGGAGATTCAGAAGCTGCTACTGTTGCTACTAGGCTGCGCCGTACAATGTGAACTGAAGCAGGATTTTATTGAGGGCATTAAATTACTAGATATCAATGTACAGCATGCTATTGTCAACCATATCCAAGAGGTAAGCAAATTAAAACATTTCCTTTTATTTTTAAATTTTATGAATAATAAATTTAAAAAACAAAAGAAAAACAGATTTTGTTTCCAACTTTTTTTAATAAGTTAGTACGGTTAAGACTAACATTCAATTCATAATGGCCCCGAAACCACAACTCAGAAATACCAGGTTAGTCTCCAATGGGGGATACCGGTAGTTATTACCTTGTATAGTAGTTGAAGTCATTATAATCACAATATCAATTTTCAAGCCTCGCAACCTTGGTTCAGAAATACCAGAATGGTGTCCGGTGGGGGATAGTTTAGTACCTGATTTTGTTGTATTTTTAACTAGTTATTATTTCTGTTATTTATTTATGAGCGGACAATTGTAATTTTATATCTATGTTAAAAAATGTTTTTTTACAAATGACAATAAAGTATATATTGAATTATTACTGAATTAAAAAGGGGGAAATTCCTATTGTACTTTTTACTTTTTCACCAAGATGGCTAACACATATAGGCCTTGGCCAGCCGTCATCCAGGTACTCATTGTTTACCAGGATGTTGGAATTTTAGCAGGATTGAAAAGCTCAAAATACGTAACCTAAAAGGATGTGTGAGGAAGTGATCATGGTTGTTTTTGTATTTGTAATAAAAATGTTGACTATACCTCGTAAATATTTATTTAGTACTCAATAAAGTTTTTTCCCCACTTCCCTGTGCATGCATATATTTATGTACACGCAGGAGATAATGTACTGCCCAAATTGACTAACACATCCCTAGCGTTACATGAACCATGTATTTCTGGAAGTCAAATGAACAGTCTTAGTTCTCCGAAGGTCTATAGACACAAATTGTCATTATGGATAGCTGGTAGTCACATTGTGGATAAAAACACTTTTGGATCTCTGAGGACCTATAAATTCATCTTGGATCTATTAGGCTTTATAGACATTCTCTTTCTACATCTAGAAACATTACATGCCAAAGGATCAAATTATATTCTGGAGTAATCATTGCATCTCCTAAATACAAATCCTAAGATAAACACATTTCTATGGGCATCCATGTAATTTTGATATTCCAACACTATCCACAAAATGCATTCATTATCCAATATTCAGTGGAGTTGAATAGAAAGCGGTTAAGATGCTCGCCTTCCAATCCCAGGGTCCTGGGTTCAAATCCTGTCAGATTCCAGGATTTTTTTCTCATGACCAAAAGAACTCCACTCCATACGACTCATGAAATTTAGTTTATGTTGAGCATCTTGTGTATGTTTATCATATGAAGGGATTGCTACCTATGTAAGACAGTGAAAGTAAGCAAATGGTAAATATTACTGTATATCTATATTTCACAAATATGAATCATTTATTTGCACAGAGATTTATATCCTTATTAATTTCCCTTTGTTTAAAATTATAAAAATTCTTAAAATCTCCAAAATTCATGGTATTATGTTTATATTCCTTCAATGAAAAATCACAATACGAAAACGTGAGTAATAATTCATTTTTCTTTGGTTGAATCCAACGGATTAAATGCTATGGCAATTTCTTGTAATTAACGAGATCGCAGAAGGCATTATCACTCGACAGATTAAACTGTTCACAGAGAGGTATTAAAATGGCCACGGGGAGGATGTGGTTACATTTGTATGTACACAATTTCAGACAAAGGAAATTTAAAACCAATGTTTTACCTGTTTTAAGTGCTGCGATGGATAGCGCTTTGGTTTCTTATAATCCTATATAATATGGAAGACTGATATCGCCATTTTCATTTTTATAATTAAATTGAGAATGTGGTGAATCGACCTCGTTTTGTACAGATGTTTAGAACGCACAATCGTATTGAAATAGGAATCAATTTAATTTGTTTAAATAGAACTACTGATGTGGAGGTCACAAATTTTTTTTTGTATATTCAAGCTTATAAAATGGTAAGAATATTTTTCATTAAGGTCATTAAAATTTATCAAGCACATGAAAACACATTTGCTGAAATTTTATTTGACAAAAACATGTGACATGGCTAAATATGGTCATGATGACATCACATCATGATCATATATAGGTACAACAGGTATATGGGCTTAAATTTAGCTAATACTTCCAATCAGATCATCACACGTTTGACTATAATATCTATGCTTATTCTGTCTGTTAATCGATGAGAACAATTTAATCTCATTCAAATTTTTAATTTAGGTTAATATAGGATTTTTCTTTTTTTAGCTCGAGAGACAGTACACCTTAATAAATTATATCATTTGACATTAATGCTTAGCTTTAATATAACATTTTTTTTAACTGAAAAAGCATAAAGGTCAATATCTCGGTAAATGCCCATTTGATTGGATTGAGAGGTTCTTCACACAATGATATTATACACATACTCAGGAACACAAATCAAAGAAAACAAATTCTGTAATACATTGTAGATAAGTAACACGTTCAAGAGTATACAGGTTATCATTAAAATAAAGGTGGGGCTAGAGAATAGTATAAAATGTCACCATATGACTTTGATCCTAGAGCATTGGGAATATTTGTGGCAGTATAGAGTTATTTAAAAAAATACAATAGGGTAGTGATTTCAGTCTAAATTATAAAAAAAAATAGAATGGCATTGGACATTCGACCTTATATTGACCTCAATTTCCGATTTATAAGCAATTCCAATTTAGGACCACATATACTTTGGTCCTTAAGGCCTGAAGATTCTGCCTTTAATAGGAAGGTTTTCATCATACTATTACATGTTTTGTTGAAAGTTCCTTTCCCTGTTTTTCATATTTCTACAGTACTTTGGCCTTAAGGTACAGATATCATGGATCATAAATTAGTCCTTATAGTGGCATTTTCTTTCCATTCCAAGTATTTTACTAATTTATTGGCCTTGTTTGATGCTGTGTTCAACATGCCTGTGGACATGTGTCATTTCGTTTTTACACCTTGTGCCAATTTAAATGTCCTACTCTCCAGGGAGTATGCCAGGCAAGTTATTAAGGTATTCCGGACCACATTAACACCTGAATGTATATTAAGCAGAAAACAACTGGTTGGTGTGAAAATAGGTATGATGGACAGAGATGATCTTATTTTTTGAGGAGAATGAGGAAGTGGAATAGGAGGAGGGATTACAAAACATCAGTACCATTTCTTGAGGAATGAAATCATCTCATTAATAATAACCTATTTAAATTTTACTTTAAAGCAGCTGGAAAGTGCTTTGCCCTTGGATAATATTATGGGCTACCATTTTCATAGTCATTATGAAGTTCATATGATAATATGGATTTTATTTTTCCATTCCTTTAATCCTGTTCATATAATAATGGTCCATGTTGACATATGTTAATCCCTTGACTAAATCACAATGCACATGAATAATTATTGTTTGAACACAAACTTAGATTAAAATTTCAATTCAATATGATAGTGATACTATGCATTATTGAAAATATGATTATGGTAAATTATATAATAGTGTAGCAACACATTTGGTAAAACACCATCTCCCTCCCTAACAATACAATATCTATTTTATTCTGTATTAATATTTAATTATTTTTTTATTATAATAATTTTTAATCTTATTCTTAGATTATAATTTGAGTTTTTTAATAAAAAATAAATGTCTATAGACCATTTTATTGAATTATTTTGAAACAGTGCCGCCAACGTCTTACAACTCACTGGGGGACTTTCAGCAGTCTAGCCTGAGCAGCTGGCTAGTTACGAATGGAGCACCGCGCAATGGATAGTGCAGCTAGACCCTTGCTATAGGAGCACATACGATCTTGCTAATTACTGTATTTGTAAACATTGAAATAGCTTTTTAAGACTTAGACTTGTTTTTAATATACACATTTCATGTTTTTTTCCATTTTAAAATATTTGTGCTCGTTAGTAATTTAGTTTTATTGTTGATTTAATCCATGATGATATCTATTTAGAGGGAAATGCTAGGCCTCTGAAAGTCCTCCAGTGGTAGTTGCCAGGTTATCGGAAATTTTCATTTCAAATTTTGTGAATTTTGTCTATATTGAATTCTCACAGATTACAGATAACAATGAGAATGTTTGCAGTCTGAACTGGGGTGATTTTGCAGACTTGTCGATGGAGCAGCTCGACTTGCAGTCACGTAACATGTTCAACCAAATGAAGCGGCTCGTTAAGGAAAGAGATAATTATTCGGAGGTAAAATACTCGTTAACATGTTTATGCTAGCCTCGTTAGGAAAAAATAACCCATGAACTTATTAACTCATCTCAAGTCAGACTGGTCATTGGGCAAGGCCGAAGCTTGAATGACCCAAAGTTCCACAAATTTATGGTCAACTCCTTATAAAAAGAAAATATTACTATTAAATTCTATCCAATCACCCTATTAACTGATATTGTTTTTCTTCCATTGGGTTTGCTACTACAACACCGGTTTTAACAGTGTTTGTATTTTTTACCAAAACATTGGAAGATCTTATGTTGAGGATCGTTAAATTTGGATCAATATCCCACACGTTGTCACTGTATGCAATTCTTGTCGGTAATTGCTCATAAAAATCGGCGTTTAAGAACGTGGAGAGCCTATGGGAAAATCAATAGCGGCAACTTGTGAGCTCACTGATGCATTTCAAACGCTCAAAGATAAAAACTATTCAAGCGTGTTACATAATAAATGTGAATGTATCAGAAGTCTAGTATATAGCAATTACTCGGTTGTTATGACGGAAGGAATGCAAATGTACAATAGCTATATATATTTGTAGCTTCTTCATTCTTAATTCAGGTATTTTTATCCTTTATATCCTTAAGTTTTTTGCTTTATATTATTTTGTTTTAATAAATTATTAACATCTACTATACTTACATTATGACAGAAGTATATCTTTCAGAAGCGGATTTAGAAGGGGGCGTTAGAGGTGTTCGCCCCCCTTAGTTTTTGTAAAAATAATTTTTGTAAAGCTTATCAGAAAATTACCAAGCTAAATATTAAATATCAATCAAATACTATATCTAATTAATAAAGGTGCTAGGGGTTTTAGGTAGAGTAACCCTATTTTTTCCCTACTGGGGCTCTTCCCTGAGACTCACTCAGCTCTTCCCTGAGACTCACTCAGCTCTTCCCTTGAGCCTCACTCAGCTCTTCCCTGAGACTCACTCAGCTCTTCCCTGAGACTCACTCAGCTCTTCCCTGAGCCTCACTCAGCTCTTCCTTGAGACTCACTCAGCTCTTCCCTGAGCCTCACTCAGCTCTTCCCTGAGCCTCACTCAGTTCGCACATTCACTTCTCCTCTTTCTTGTAGGGCTGGATCTGCCCCTGTTTTTATAATATTATTGGGAGAAAAAGAAAGATATGAACAAACATTTTAGAGATCTTGGAGTGGGTATGTCTCTAGAGTAGTTTTTGGTGGTTAAGATGTTTACCTTCCGTTCCCATGGTCTTAAGCTCACCAAAAATTTTTTTTGTGACTAAAAACAACTTCACAACATAAAGATAATGTGACTTAGTTTTTAATATTTATAGAACATTGCTTTTGTCTTGATAGGTGAGTCACTGTCTGGTGGATGAGACTTAAATAAATACATTAAATAAATACAAATCTTGAGTATGCTTAGTGGATCGCCCTTGGCAGATGTTCAATGGCTAATAAAGCAAATTCAAAATGATTCTTCCAGCCTTCAATATAATCAAGGATTTATTTTTGCTTTTATAGCGTTAATTTGTTATGCCAAAGTAGCCTACATATATTTTTTATATCAGTGTTGATCTAAGTTTTTTGTTTACTTCCACTTACTCCACTTGGTAAAATGTATTTCAGTTTGAGATAATATATTTTTTCACCTTTTGTACAACCAATGATTAAGCTTGATTAAGTTTTCACTATTAATAATAGAACATCTAAATTGTATGGCTGAATTGAACATTTATCATAATGATAATGTATTAATTAGGATGCTTGTGCTTATCTTTACTGCATCTCTAAACAGATTATATAATGTAGTTCAGGGGTCAGCATTAGACTCCTGTACCATCAACGGTCATAACCAGATAACTTGAGGCGATAACATGTATATTAAATATATTACTTGACATGCTTTTGCAGAACGATCTTTCCAAGAACTATTTATTCAGGAGGTGTTAATTTAACATCTTCGACATTAGTGTCAAGAATTATAAATTGTGATGTTACTGTTTGCTGATAATGGCACTGTAATATATGGTATTTTGCGTTATTTGATGATAAAGATTATATAGAATGCATATTTTGATATTTTACATGAAAGTGAATGAAAGCTTAACATAATAAGTGAATTTGTTGTATTGCCAATTTCATTGTTATAACAGTATTTTGTTATTGATTTTACTATTTTTATTGTTTAATAAAGTACTTCTTTATTATCACTGAACCTTTATTCATTAATTTTCATATTTATAATTTTATTTATTCTACAGGCCCCAATGGAAATAAGTTTTTTATATTTTAAAACTTTCTTGTGTTACATTGTGCATTAATATCTTACCTGTTCTTAATCATTTCTGTTTTTTTGTTTTGTATTTAAAAAATGTTTTGTGATTTTAATTCCTGAATAAAATTACGGTAAATGAAATGAAAATTGTTTTACAATTCTTTTAGACAATAATGGAGCTTAGCCAGGAAAAAGATTTCCTTCAGGTGCAAATGGAAGGACGCAAGAGCATATCTCCGCCGATGAGTCCTACCGCTAATCGACATCAATTGACAGTGGAACTCGCCGAGACCAAAGCAAAGTTGCGAAGGACACGGCAGGAGATGGAAGACAAGTCGGAACAAGCATTAGAATATAAGGAAGAACTAGAAAAGTTCGGACAGCAGCTGCTTAAGCTTCGGCAAGAGGTAATTACTAAAGGAATAATTGTTTATGGTCTGTTTATGATCTGTTTACAAACTCGCGTAGCAGGATGGATAAATTATTAATTAATTTATGACTGATGTTTGTCGTCTGTAATAAGAACCTTGTATTTAAATTAATTCTTTCTTTTATTGAACATGATGGGAAAATGTACTAACGATGCCTAGAAGTTGAAAAAATGGGAACCCACCATCCTCAAGATGATATAAAAATTTTTAAAAAAATGTTGATCAGGGCCCTGGGGACAGCTATAGTAAAGCGGTTAATATGTCGGAAGACAATCCCCTACTCTTTTTATAATGTATAAGTCCTTTTTTGTGTGGACCAACAGCTTAATGTTCGATCTAAAGGATGAGGTAAGTAAAGCAATATTCCTTAAGACATCCCCTTCCCCTTGATCATACTTTGGAATTTTCCCTCATCTGTTATTTTCTGGCAATAATAACGTATTTCATGAAAAGGCACAATGTCCTGAGATAAATTCCAACCAAAAATTTTGCTGGTAGTGCGGGCGGCATAATTGCAATACTTTATGCTGCAAATAGTATCACTTGTAGTTGAATTCAAGTATAGGCAACATTCCAAATAGTCTAGGCTCCCTGTCAAGCTCAACTACTGTAGTGAAGATTGGCATTCCAAACGGTCTAGGGTCATAGAATGCAGCACTGATGAATAGGCCTAGATACCTTATTACCAATTCCATGATCTGCATTAAACAAATACCTTGACATCTGCATGAAATACAGGAAGATTTACACAGCAAACATGTACATAATGACATATTAAAAGTGGTGACATGAAAAATCCATAAATATAGCAGGATATAGGTCACTTAGAAGATTATGAATTGATTTTTAAAAATATTTTGACTCTTAAGCAAATTTGAAGCAAACTTCACTCAAATTATTATAGTGAGTTGGTGTGATGTCGATGTGGACATGAAAAATCCATAAATATAGCAGGAAATACGTCACATAGAAGAATATGAATTGATTTTTTAAAATATTTTGACTCTTCTTAAGCAAATTTGAAGCCAACTACACTCAAATTATTATAGTGAGTTGGTGTGATGTCGATGTGTATATTTCATTTTTTTTAAATATATTTTATTTGGCCTAATGTCATCTTAAAAATTTATCATTCTAAATACTATTTCTACTTATCTCATGACATCTTCCATTCTGCTGTATGTATCTGGCGGATCCAGGATTTTGAAATAGAGGGGGCCTGGGGAGGGTCTTCCATAGATGGAGGGTCGACCCACCTTAGCTAAACCGTGGATGGGGCTGAGATAAGAAAATTATGATTACAGCACCTCTAGATGGCCGAAAATGCCACTCTCATACCTAAATTGAGTATAATTTTATTTATCTTCTCAATTTTTTTATTTTTTATTTTGAAAAGGGAGGGGGCCCCTTGTTTTGTTTTAGACATGCAGCTTTGGTTGAGGTATGACCTTTTTTTTATGGAATTTGCCTCCCCTTTCTCCAGTGATCTGTTCAGACATTTTAATTTGCAAATGGAACAAGATTGGAAATAATAACATCCATTGCTTGATTAGTTACTTCCTATGGCTTACGTCATCTAATTTAAATATGTAGGGAAGTAACTATCACCTAGTGCATGTGATAATCACATTACTATTGCATCCAACAGTCAGCTGATGCATTTAGAAGTAAATGAGGATGTACCAAAGCCAATCATAAGTTTGGAAGATCAAGAAGTTTACATTTTACTAGGCATGAAGAGGTTTGAATGCAGACTTAAAAATATTATGTGACTTTGTGTTTCAAAGAAGATTGTTTTCAAATTTGAATAATGTTTTGTTGACCCTTTTTATTTGTTTCACCTTCCTGTATTATTGTTTTTGTTAGTGAAGCTTAAAGGAACATTCATGCATACATGTAAATTCTAATTTGATCTCAGTTTGTGCTGCATATTAATATCCAGTCACAGAGATGGAAATCTGAGAATGTTTGCATTTTTATCAAGCATTAATATATGCTTTATGCACATTTGGAATATGATCAGCACAATGTGACAGCCCCTTTAAGGGAATAATTGATAGTTTTTAGGGGGTCTGGGAATTTGTCAAGAAGTTACTACATATGCAGACAGGTTTTATGGTGTTAGCCTAAATACAGTGGGATATTTGATCACATGATAGCTGTAAATCATCTGCTTCATGTAATCTAGTTCCTTGAAATATCACATGACACCTGTCATGTGATATGAAACACAAATATAAATTTTTATTAAATATTGTTCAACAAATTCAATTGAGTTCAATTCAAAGTAACAGTTATTTGATTCCTTTTCAATTCATACAGAAATATAACATCATAACAAATTCAGGAGAAAACTTACATAAACAAATAAGAAAATACAAACCATGTATATTTAATATTCGGCCTACATTCTCTTATGGTGGAAATAATCTACATCTACAAGTTGTTATTATACAGTATAAACGAGAACAGTATCGAAACACAAGTTATTACCCCTGGTCAGTCAGTTCATATATGCAGATAAAGACAGCATACCGCTTTATCCACACCTGGCATGCCGCTTTATGGACACACAAGGGAGTAAGGGTGAATACATTAAAATAAATGAATGCATATTTAGATAAAAACATCATACTGTACAACTACGTCCAATCTCAAAGGAGTAAGAGAGCATGGGAAAAGATTAGCGATAAAATAAATAGCAGAAAAGAAAAATTTGGAAACACTAATCCAATAAAGTTCATATTTGGAATATAGGCCTATAAAAAATTGTAACCATAATAATTTTTGTCACATTTCTCATCTTTATCAGAATTTAACTTTAATGCAAGATGCGAGATCTGCACGTATATACAGAGACGAACTTGATGCACTAAAGGAACAAGCAAGCAAAGTAGACAAGTACGAAAATGAAATAAGTAAATATAGAGAAAGACTCAACGAAATGGAATATGTAAAGAGACGAGTTGAGGTATGTAAATATTTAATCATGTGTTATATTGTTTATTTAATAGTACAGAAATGGTATTGATTACTATGAATATTGCAGCTTTGTTGTTGTTGTTGCTGTTGTTAATTATATATAATTGTCTAATTAATTTTTTATGCAATAGTTACGTTGAATGTTTCGGATACAAACAATCCAGTAACTCTATCACTGCTACACAGAAAACCTTATTGTTATTGTTTTTTTACTGTCAACACTTGTACAATTGAGAAAGAGTCTGGAAACAAACCTTTTAAATTAGTGTTCAAAAGCCACTTCCTGTGTTGGTATCATACCAACTCTGGTCAGCCATTAATCCAGAGAATACGATACTTTCAATGTTGCTTTCCGTTTTGTTTTTGAAGTGCATTTCATAGAACACAAGCTCTAAATCTGTGGTAAATCAAGTGGAAAGCCTGTTGTTGAGAAGTTCAGTAGGGTTATCATCATAAACGCCAAAAAAAAAAAAAAAAAAAAAAACAGTTCTGTTAGCATTAATATATATATATCCAAATCATTGATTATACAATTACAATTCTTTTATACTTATCCATTACGGTATATATTTTTTAATTGATACAGGCTTTTTAATGAAAAGAATGCACCTTTCCTGGAATTTGGTTACAAATTTAAATTTACAAAATATCAGAAAATTAATTCCAAATTTCTTAATAAAAAAACCACAAAAATTACAACATTATTTAATTGAATCAAACCTACCAGTATATCACTTAGTTTTTTTATATACTTTATTAGATTTTGTCATTAGAACTTTGAAAAAAAAAAATCATTTCATTTATTTCACCATGTTTAATGTTCTGTATAATGTGGCAAATATTTATAACAAGAAAAATACCAATTTTACGAATGGCTGCCATTTTAATACAAATGATGGCATATATGATACCAAGATATATATCATAAGACACAAAGAGCCAAGAATTTGAAGGTACAAAAGTGTTGAGGTTGAACACACCTTTAATAATGGGATATTGTAGCGTTTCCTGACTAGCTTCCTTCCTAATTTCCTGATTATTTCCTGAGTTTAACCTGAGCTAGTCTAACCAATTCCTGGTTTAGGAAGAAGTGACCTAAGAATCTGGACTTGGATGATATATATATTGTTAGTTTTATTATATCATTTTTTATAATTCAACAGTGAAAGACTAGACACAAAAACGATAGAATTTGTGATGTTCCACAGTTTAAACTGTCATATGTTGACTGAAACTCCTGGCTTATAAGATTTTAACCCAGTATCCTAGAATTAGAAGGCAGGCATCTTAACCAAAAAAATACAGTCTCACTCATTCTTTCTCTGTGCATATTACCACATTCAAAGTTAGTTTTCACATTAATATGTTATTCTAATTAACACGTTTTATGAGCCTGTCAAAAAAAAAAATATGTGTGCATACATTTTGGTTTGAATGTAGTTTTGGTTTGAATGTAACTAGTTACGTGTAATCCTGACTTTATGTGTGATTTCTCAATTTATGATGCTGAAATACGTGTATGTGTTATAATGGATTGGAAGTAATCCTGGCATCTATAATTTGACCTAGTTTATTGCTACGGAGACAATGGCTCAGGAATTCTCATAGGAATCTGAATCCATCAATATATAAAACAGCTATAATGACATTAAGGAAAGGTTAGGTGGCGGTGAAATCTGAAAAAAAAAATGGGGTACCAATAGTTTTTTATGTAGTTAATTAGGATGTGTAATCTATGAGAAATTATATAGGCCTAATTCAAAATTGGACATGAAAAGTCATGAAAATACCTGGAAATTCAGAAAAAACCCAAAAAAGTACTGTATATGAAAACTATGAAGAAACCTAGAAAATTAAGTCCTCCAAGTCAGTAAGTCATAGAATAAATGTATGCCCTCAATTCATCTTAAATTAATAATTGTATTATATTATATAATATTTTAAAGATATATATATTTCCATCATTTGCTATAGGCAAATTCAATCAATTCTGCATCAACCATGTGAAATCGAACACAATAAAAATGTATCAAATATATACTGAAACCTTTAAAATACCATTATTTTTCCTTCCTTTTTCTTTTAGGAACTCCGGCAGGATAATCAGCTTCTCCATGAGACAAATGCATTACTCCAGGATCAAGTTGAAACTTTCCAAAGCAAGGGGGATAGAATACGGGAATTAGAAGCTGATCTCTTGCGATATAAGTCACAGATTGACAATCTTCAGGAACAACGCGAGGCTGACAACGATAAGCTGCAGGAGTTAATTGAGGAGAATGCGAGGCTGCAGATGGATCATCGTCAGAGTTTGAACGAATCCGCATCATTGGGTCATGAACTTGAGATGGCTAAACTTGTTTCACCATGTAGGTATCAAACTTGTATATTATGCATGTTTTTTTTTTGTTTTTTTTTTTCAAATCTGACTATGTATAATATGTTCAAATTAAGTTTCTTCAGTCTATTTTGCAACCAAGTCTGAATTACAAGATATTTTCAAATTTTTATTCAAAATTTAAAAGCATCAAAGAGTCAATTGAATATTATATGTAGGTATCAAACATATAGTATGAATGTTTTTTGATCAAATCTGTCTCTAATATGTTCAATTTAAGTTTCTTTAATCTAAATTTATTTTGCAGTCAAGGCTGAATTACAAGATATTTAGGCCTACAAATTGATATTCAAATTTAAATACATCAAAAGAATCAATTGATTATTAATTGAAAATAGAAAGTTAATTTAATTAAGTCCAGTGCATAAAAATTGGATGAAATAGTTTGTATATATTTAAAAAAACATGGGGTTTGTGTGTATAAAAATCATTGACTATTATATTACATATACAATGAACTACTCAGTCATAACTCAGCACCTTAGAATTTTAGCAAGTTGATTAGATGGCTTGTCAAGGAATTCAATTACACTATTTTTATAATTAATTTTTATTTATCACATTTTTTCAGCTGGAAATTCTCTGTCAAAAGAATACAATGATTCAGCTTCAAGCAAAATTCTGAAACTTGAACGGGAAAATCAAAAACTTTTGAGTGAGTTACAAACATTGCAAGAAAGCTTCCAGACTGATAGCAAAAGCAAATTATTAGAAAAGGAGAATGAAAGACTTTGTCGGAAAGTAGAAAAACTTCAAGCTGCCAGCTCCTCTGAAATGCAAAACTTTCTTGAACTGGAAACTGAAAACAGCAATTTAAAAAAAGAAAAAGGACAGTTGGAAGAAGCAATGCAGACAGCAAAAGAAATGAGTGAGAGGCAGCTGAAAGAACAAGAACTTGAAAATGAACAACTAACTCAGACAATTGAAACTTTAAGAGAACGAAATCAGAAAAATGTTGACCACCGGATTAGGGATATTGAAAATGAGAATCGTAAATTACATGAAGAGATGAAAGAGTCTCAAAGTAAATTATCAAAAGTTGAATATGATAATAAGCAGTTACAGAAGACACTTGATAAGCTAAAAGATAATGCAAATAGGTTAGAGGAACTGCAAAAAACTCATTCTGATTCTGTCAGAGAGAATGATAAATTGAGTCGAACTGTTGATATGTTAAATATTCGTTGCGATCGTTTTGAGGAATTAGAACATGAGAACTCGGTGCTTGAGGTTCAAAAAGAAAAAATGGAAAATGAGAAGCTCCAGCAGGAGCGATCTCTTACAGAGCTTAGGGTGCATTGTCAGAAACTTGAGCAATACGAGGCTGACAACGTCCAATTAAGATCCCGTCTGCAGACTCTCCAGAAGACTCTGGATACTATGAAAGACAACATGTCAAAAGTTCTGGAATTAGAGCATGATAAAGAGGAGTTAGACAGACAGAATAGACAATTACAAAAGTCAATCGAGGCTCTGAAGTCAAGTCAGGAAAGAGGTAGTCAGTTGGAGGTGGACTATATTGAGCTTGAAACACAGAATAAGCAATTACAAAAATCTATTGAACTTAACAAAATGAAGATAGAGAAATTAGAAAAGGAAAATCAAGAATTGGATAACCATGTGGAGAGATTGAAAGAAGATCTTAAGAAGTCTTCAGAATCTCTGAAGCTGTCTAGCAAGATGGTTGAAGATCTTGAGAAAGACAATAGGACACTTGAGCTTGAGAAGGAGACGGTAGAGAAAGACAAGCGAAGACTCGACAAAGAGAACACTCGCTTGAAGATGTCTTTAGAAGGAAAAGACAGTGAAATTGATGAAGCGTCTACAAAGATTGCAACACTTCAACGGGAGGTTAAACATGTCCAAAAGTCTGCCGAAAAGAACAAGGAGATTGCTGAAAGAGTAAAAGAGCTTGAAGCAGAAAATCGTGATCTCGTGAAGCAATCAACTCTGGATAAAAAAACATTGGCAACACTTAGAGAGGTTAGTAATATTCGTAATGTTTTTGCAATTGGTGACAGACATTGTGACCATCAATTAATTGATAAATTGATTGATTGATTGATTTGTTGCTTGATTGGTGGGTTGATTGATTGACAGATTAATTGAGAAACGTATTAAATGGATGGCAATCATAAAGCCAGAACTTTTTCTGTTGATGTTTTTTTTTCTTCTTTCCCTTGAAAGATATTTTTACAATCTCACGGTACATAGACATTTATGATATAATGCAAACTAAAATCATTACTTGAAAACCATGAGATTTGAGAAGAGAAACTTTGTATTTTTCATTATATTAAGTAGAATATAATCTGGGGTACTGACTTCAAACAATAGCTGATTGAAAACAATTAATATGGAAATATTACCATAACATATTGTTAAACAGTTTCAGAGAGTAATTATTACGGTTTGATGGGCTTGTTAGTAGAACAGTCTCTATTATTCCCAAGAGGAAGTTTCCTAATTGAACCTTAATCAATCTTCCACCTCTGTGGCCAGTTCCTTATGTCCAAGATCATTATTTTACGTTTAATTAGTGTCTGGTAATATGTACTCGTTACCTGGTAATAAGTAGAAAGCGATTACTGTAAGTGGTAATTTATAAAGTAATTCTTCTAGTATATATTTAAATATTTAGCTACAGATGTATAATATATTGGAAGTATTTCTTTTCCTCTTTTCTTTCTCACAAAGTGTATTACTACAACATAAAAAAAGGTTTAACATGCTTTGTTGTATGTGTAAAATTGTGTATACCTCTTATACAATTATTGTGTTGCGATGTTGTTGTTTTGACAAATAAAACCTTAGCTTTGGTATCTTGTCACTCATCTTTAAAATCTGTTGATTTCCCTCCTCAAATTTCTTTCCTGTGTAGGAACTGGTAAATGAGAAGATTCGGACTCAACAACTAGACAATGATTTAGAAAAACTGTCAACAGAACTGGACCGTATTGGGCTCAATAAGGATAAATTGTTGAGGGAAGAATTAAGAGAAGATGAAAGGTAAAACTATAGCATATCATCTGCTATTAGAAGAGGTGTCCAATGCAAGCAAGGATATTTGACAAAAAACATGGGAACGGTTAATGAGATACAATATTAAAAAACTGGGTGATACTGACTCTGGATTTTAATTGGCGCTTTACAAATCTCTACCTTATTATAATGATTAGTTGCCTTAGTAAATGTGCCATACTATATTAATTTAGTGGAATCATCTTAATCAAATTTATCAGTTTTTTTAGTGTTTTGATGCAATGAATTTCTCCATTTGATTCCTTCTCAGTCGTTACAAAGCACTTCAGAGCCAAATGGAGGATACACTAAACCGAAGCCTCGAGATCAAGGAGGAAAAGATCAAAGCACTAGAACAAAGGTTAGAGCCATTTACAAGTCATGACTTATTACTAAGCATGTCCGCATAGGTGTGCTGTCGGCTTCCATTGCGACCTTTAGAGTTGAGCTGTTGGATTTATCAGCTCATCTTTTCATGTTTGTAGGTATGAGTTCTCTATACGTGGCTATTGCATTGCATGAGACAGTCTGCTCGTTTTAGCAGCACATCATTACTATGCATGTAGATTTGGGTACTCTGTCACAGCAGGTCACTTTCCCCGACGCCACAACTAGGTCATCGGATCAAAAATTAAAAAAAATAATAGTTTGCTTATCCAAATAACGTTATTAGAATTGCTAATCCCTAATATTGTTGCTAAAAGCACGATTTGGACTATACTAAGCTATAAGAACTCAGTGATCCTTACCAGGGATTTTTTATTCCAGGCCATCAACGGAAGTGGCACCTTGATTCGGACCCCTCCGTCAGACATGTCAGACCACTTGTAGGCAAATTTTTCTGGTGCCACATAACATTACATTTTTGAGTCGAGCCCCTAGATTTAGCACTATGACATTACTATATATGTTGATGTGGCTATGACGTTGGCCACCATTTATTAATTTAAGTCACTAGATTTAGCACCACTGCATCACTGTTTATCGGTTATCATTGCATTCTTTTGAGTGAAGCCGCTCAATTTAGTAACTCATTGATATGGGTACTTAATTGGTAGCCATTAATTTAATAGCTAATAATTACTTATATTTGTATTTAGGATTCGTTAGTGTCGTAGCTTGATATCTGGTACGCTTTTTTAGCGTCATGCAGAAATTGTTCAAGCAATCATAAATATTATTATTATTATTATAATATTAATATTATTATTTCAAGGCAGCATCAGGCTTAATAAAAATAAAGAAAAACTTTTATTTTTTTCTGAAATTTCTATTTTTTTGTGACGGCGGGTGCACTAATTGGCCCAAAATAATGTTTTATTTTGAAATCACCATTATAATAATACACATTTTTAAAGTGCCTATTAAAGCAAACAAAAACTGGCTTGTCACCGGTGCTTGAAGATGTTAGAAAGAAGTTGAACTATTGAAGAGGAATGATTTAAAACTGGATTTGAATAATTGTAGGGGCAGAGAGTTACGGAGTTTAGGAGCAGAAAATGAAACAGAGGGTTCACTGGTACGAATATGCTTGACTTGTGGAGTAACAAGTTTGAGGGATTGAGAAGAACGAGTAGAACGGGAAGAAACATGTTTGTCAATAAGAGAACAACGATATAGTGGGGCACGACCATAGATTTTAGGTGAAAGGAACAATTTTAAAAATGATACGCTTATCAACAGGAAGCCAGTGAAGAATGTTTAAAATTGGCGTAATATGGGTGAACCGTTTAGGGAGTGTTACAACACGAGCAGCAGATTTCTGAAGTTTTTTAAGGCGTCTAATTGGCAGGCGGCAAGTTTGCTAAACAAGGCATAAAAAAAAGTCTCGCCTAAATGATAACAAAGCGAGCAGATCTGATGTTCTTAGTCATACTTTGGAGTTGACTATGTTTGTCATAATATGCGTATGTTGACACTGCATCTCAGTTGTTTGCATAGCAAATGTGTTGAAATTCAGCCATCAGACATACATGAGGTGATTATCCAATCAGATTGCATTAACCACACAAGACTAATGTTAGCAATTAGTTAGAATTTTTTGTGTTTTATTTATTTTAGTTTGCAGCACTGATCTTGTAAATCCCGTCTGTTAATGTTCTTTGATTGAATAGAGACAGTGCCAGTTTCTCAAACGAGTTCACATTATGTTCTTTGGTTTGTATTGACCAATGAAAGTTATCATGTCTGATGCTTTAACTGCTGAATAGAGATGTTGGAATTTCCTTAGATGATTTCCCATAATTTTTTCTTTAGTTTACCGTAATGCACTCAGTAATGTTTCAATGTTTGTTTTATACTTTAACTGCTGAATATAGACAGTGAAATTCCCGCAGGCAAGTTCCCGTTTTAATTTGAAAGACAGATTCCCTCAGACAAGTTCAAATAATATTTCTTAGTTTTCATAAGTGTGGTCATTATGTAAGGTTTTGTCTTCATTTCAGTTACAAATAAGAAAAATGTTCTGTTTGTTGAATTGTATAACCCCTGTAAAAAAAAAAGAGTTGCATTTACCTTGCTCACATATAGTATTAAATAATCTCAACCCATTTTATGATTTAATTGTGTTTTATACACCTAATATTTCAGTCTTTTCATCAGTGTTTATATTGGGAAATAACTCTTTAATAAGAAAAATAATAAAATAGAAAAGTTCCATTGGCTTTGCATGACTGGTATCTTAACTCACAAATTATATTAAAATTATGTGGCAGTATTGGAACCTGATTGATGAACCATTAAGGGACCAAAGATTATATCACATGGCTCCAATTGACCAATTGGATATCCTGAACGAGGTGATTATTGATCCCAGAGGCATGTTTCTGTATGTAGATCGTTGCTATGGTATGTCTTATGCTGAATCTGTCACATAGGTGGCTATTAATGCTGCTAACTTAATATCGCTGAATTTTTGAATGATCTAGTAATTACATAGATTGAACTTCAGTGCCATTGTGGTTGATATCCTCCTCTGACAACATTACCTAAGTGAATAAAACAAAACAGGAGATTCTAGATGTGATGTTCATTCCCATGACATTAGGTAGTTTTCGCTGCACGACGTTAACCTTAACTTTAACTTTAATACCCAACATGTAACGTGATAGCTCAGCCCCTTTTGAAAATAAATCGAAATAAATATGCGCAAACCCGTAACTAATGTATGGCAAGCACGTTAAATCCTGAAATTAACGTACTCCGCAACGCAAGATGAATAAATTATGATGTCATCCGTTAACGGTAAAGTTAACGTCGTTGCGGAGAAAATTACCTACTCTCTAAAACAATATCTCAGAATTAATCTGACCAAGTAGACATCAAACTCACAATCAAGGGATTGCTAATGATGATACCAAATTTATGACTAAAAAAATTTGTTCCGATATTCACCTTAGAACATTGACAAATTATCCGAAAAAAAGCACAAACCCTTCAGAGGATAAAAAACGCGGTGTCTCTGAAGACTGATCGTATAATCACATGACTCAGCGAACCGTGATAACATGTTCCCGAACGGCACTCAATGTCTGGGTGATTTATGACTGCTGGCCGTTATCAGCGCATAGCTGAATGTTGCTGACCTATGGCAGGTCATGCTAGGCTAGACTGGCTACCCATTAATGAAAATCCCCTACTGAGGCTTTAGACTAGAATTAATTCTGCTTTATTTTTTTGCTTTATAAAATGAATATTAATTTGTTTGAAAATTATAATTAGAGAGTGTGTAGGCCAGTATTGTATAGCTTTCAATGAAATGCATTCATATTTTATATTATTTCTCATTACTGATTTGTAAAGTTTTGCCTTCATATTTTTATTGTTTCTTCCAATAAAAAATGAATATTCATAGCTTTATTGTTTAAAAGTGAATAATTGTAATTTTATTGTTTGCCATTTTTAAATAATTGATGTATTTTATTGCTTATTTTAGTATATATGTATATATACTGTCTCTTATACACATCTAGATGTGTATAAGAGACAGATT